ACCCTCAGTCAGAGCAAGAAGCAGCCAGGTAAGTTGCAGAGACCCCCCCCCTGCCCAAAACAGTCCAGTGGCACCTTTAAGACCAAGTTTTATTCAGGTACAAGCTCTCCCTCCTCTGCGAGGACAGATTTGCATGTGTGTGTCCCCCCCCCAATAGCTAGCAAAACAGTCCAGTGGAGCCTGACACACTTCCGGTGATGTCAGGGGGTGTGGCATATGCAAATAAGTTGTGCTAATGAGTTATGCTAATGAGCTCCTGCACCTCTTTTTCTACAAAATGACACCTGCTCCTCAGGTTATTCCCCCTTTACAAACACTAGGAAGACACAAGGGAGGGGTTGTGGCTCAGGGGATAGAGCATCTGCTTGGCATGCAGAAAGTCCCAGGTTCAATCCCCGGCTCTCCGATTAAAAGGACCAGGCAGTGGGTGATGTGGAAGACCTCAGCCTGAGACCCTGGAGAGCTGCTGCCAGTCTGAGCAGGCAATACTGACCTCAATGGACCAAAAGGTCTGATTCCCTGTAAGGCAGCTATATATGCATACCCAGTCACAGATCTCCCCGTGTTGTGTGTAGTTGGGGCTTAATGTGATGGAAGTCACATGTAGCCCAAACCTGTGCTTGGGCTGCACTGTTTCAGATTGCAGGCTAGGGCTCACATGATTGGATGCTGCCCTATTGACAGAAAATCTCCCTGCATGCAGAAAATTAGCACCTCAGCAAACCCTTCTTCCTGGCAGTCTAGCTTTCTATGTGCAGGGATTTTATGGGAGGCTACAGAGTAGCATTTTAAACATTTCAGTCCCTGCAGTCTAAAGTTCCTAGGTTCAGGCTCATCACCCGTTGGGACAGCAAAGCCCGGGTTTGCTCTTGGCTATGTGAAGGTTTATTTCTGCATCTCCTAGGTTTTAACCCAGATTTCAAAGACTGAAGTACATTGACCTTCCCTAAAGCCTCACATGTGTGTGCCAGTGCTTGTAAAAAAAAAAATTATGAGTGAGTTTGTCCTACCTTGGTAAGAACTGAGAGCCAGTTTGGTGTAGTGGTTAAGTGTGCAGACTCTAATCTGGGAGAACCGGGTTTGATTCCCCACTCCTCCACTTGCAACTGCTGGATGACCTTGGGCAAGCCATAGTTCTGTCAGAGGTGTTCTCTCAAGGGCAGTCCTCCAGAGAGCTCTCTCAGCCCTGCCTACCTCACAGGGGAAGGGAAAGGAGTTTGTAAGCCACTCTGAGACTCCGAGTGAAGGGCAGGGTACAAATCCAATCTCTTCCTCTTCTTCTAGGTAAAGGTAAAGGTTCCCTTGCTCGAAAGCCAGTCGAATCCGACTCTAGGGTTGCGGTGCTCATCTCCATTGACCTTCCCTAAAGCCTCACATGTGCCAGTGCTTGTAAAAAAAAATTATGAGTGAATTTGTCCTACCTTGGTAAGTACTGAGAGCCAGTTTGGTGTAGTGGTTAAGTGTGCAGACTCTAATCTGGGAGAACCGGGTTTGATTCCCCACTCTTCCACTTGCAACTGCTGGATGACCTTGGGCAAGCCATAGTTCTGTCAGAGGTGTTCTCTCAAGGGCAGTCCTCCAGAGAGCTCTCTCAGCCCCACCTCCCTCACAGGGGAAGGGAAAGGAGTTTGTAAGCCACTCTGAGACTCCGAGTGAAGGGCAGGGTACGAATCCAATCTCTTCCTCTTCTTCTACTGCCTGAGAATAAACCAAAATCTGTCCAACTGCACTGATTGCAGGATTAATCCCGAGAGCAGATATTAAGCTTCTGTTGCGGGAACCTGGACTTTTATTTGGCATGCGGGGGATTCTGAGCATAATGTGAACTGCTCCTGTGCCAGGAACCTCTCAGAGATATCCCTATGTCTCAGGGTTCCTCCTGCTGAGCCCCAAAGTTGCCAACGTCCAGGCAGGACCTGGAGATCTCCCTGAATTACAACAGAGATCAGTTCCCCCAGGAGAAAATGGCTGTTTTGGAGGGTAGATCTTATGGCAATTATACACCCTTGAGGGCCCTCCCCATCCCCAGATCTCCAGGAATTTCCCAAACCAGGGCTGGCAACCTCCCAGCCCTCTGCAGCAGAACTAGCGGCCAAAGCAACATTCACTCTTGCTTGGCTGGCGAGGAAGCTCTTTTTTCAAGTTTGCAGCTTTAAGGGGAGGAGAGAGGCTGGGATTATTTACAGCCCGCGGTGACTTCACCCATCCGCTGCTTGGCAGGGGAAGCACAGAGCCAGCGAGCCGAGCGGGCAGAGAGACTCAAGGGCCGCGAACAGCTGGCGCTCCGATGACACGCAGAGGGGCCAGAGACGGGAGGGGGATGCTGGAGGAGCTGGTGGGGCCCCCGGTGGGGCCAGTGCCCACAGCTGGCCTGCAGCTGCATCCAAAAGGCTCTTGGCTGGATGCTTCCTGCTTTGGACCCAAGGCTGAAGGAGGGCCATCCAGGAAGGGACTGCGGGCTAAGAGGTATTGGGGCATCTGTTGGGGGGGACGGCCGAAGAGCCTCCGCTTGGCATGCAGAAGGTCCCCGGTTCAATCCCCGGCATCTCCACTTATATGGGCTCTTTTTGTAGCAGGAACTTCTTTGCATATCAGGCGACACACCCCTAATGTAGCCAATCCTCCAAGATCTTACAGAGCTCTTCTTACAGGGGCTACTGTAAGCTCTTGGAGGATTGGCTACATTAGGGGTGTGTCGCTTAATATGCAAATGAGTACCTGCTACAAAAAGAGCCCATCATGGGAAAGACCTTTGCCTGAGACGCCGGGGAGCGGCTGCCAGTCTGAGTAAACAAGACTGCCCTTGACGGACCAATGGTCTGAGTCAGTAGAAGGCAGATTCATGGGTGTTCAGGTCCCCCTTTTTTTCTTTAAGGGGTTTACTTAACTCCCTCTCCAGCTTCGCCCTCTTCTCCCTTCCCTTTATCTTTCCTTCCATCAAGCCCCTCCCTCCCTCTCTCCCTCCCTCCCTCCCTCTCTCTAGGGAGCCAGTTTGGTATCGTGGTTAAGAGAGCGGACTCTAATCTGGGAGAACCAGGTTTGATTGCCCTTTCCTCCACATGCAGCTGCTGGTGTGATCTTGGGTCAGTCACAAGCAATGTTCCCTCTAAGCTGTGGAGTCTTGTGAGCAAAAATTCTACTTTGTGAGCTACTGGCATTAAAGCTGTGAGCGAGCCATTTGGCTGCTGCATAAATTAGTTTGCTCTGTAGCCATCCTTCCTGAGCTGGAACAAAAATGTGTGAGCCGGAGGCTAAAAAACTGTGAGCTAGCTCACACTAACTCAGCTTAGAGGGAACACTGGTCACAAGTCCTCCAGAGAGTTCTCCTTCTGCTTCTCCTCCTCCTCCTCTGTTTTGTTCTCACCACTGAGAGCCAATTTGAAATAGTGGCTAAGTGTGCGGACTCTAATCTGGGAGAACCGGGTTTGAGTCCCCACTCCTCCACATGCAGCTGCCGGTGTGACCTTGGGTCAGTCACAAGTTCTCTCAGAGCTGTTCTCTCAAGAGTAGTTCTCGAGAGAGCTCTCTCAGCCCCACTTATCTCACAGGGCGTCTGTTGTGGGGAGGGGAAGGGAAAAGGAGATTGTCAGCTGCTCTGAGACTCCAAGTGAAGGGCGGGGTATAAATCCAATCTCCTCCTCCTCCTCCCTCTCTCTTTCTCTGTCTCGCCTTCCTCCATCATAGGGGGGCTGGCTTGCCCTTCGACCCCAAGGATCGGGTTTGGGGACTCCTTTGCAGCCCGTAGAACTCTTGGGGTTCCTGCCTCTCCCAGCTCACCTGATGCTTTTTTCGGAGACTTGGAGTCCTGTCTGTTGGTTTCAGCTCCTGCACATGTCGATAGGAGGAGGAAGGCACAAACCTGGCACCGGCAGCTCAGCTGTCATCTGCATGTAATATGTATTTGTCTTTTAATTAATGTCTAGGTTTGGGTTTTAATTGTGTGTTGTAAATAGCCCGTCCCTGCAAAGACGTATCACTGTGGTGTGGTTCCTCCCCCCCACTGCTGCCCCCGTCACAGATGCATGCCACCTGGTTAGAACAGCTGCCTCCAAGTCCAGTAGCACCTGAGAGACTCACAATATTGTTGGTCTCTAAAGTGCTACTTGGAACTGCGGTGGCTCAAGTGGTTAAGACGCTGAACTGCAGGCTGTGGAAGGTCGGTAGTTCAGCAGTTCGAGACCCGGGTGTGCCGCATGACGGAGTGAGCTCCCATCTCTAGTTCCAGCTCCTGCCAACCTAGCAGTTCGAAAGCAAGACATTGCAAGCAGATAAATAGGTACCACTTCAGTGGGAAGGTAACAGCGTTCCGTGCACATTGGTGTTTAGTCATGCCGGCCACGTGAGCACGGAAACAGCGCTGGCTCTTCGGCTTTGAAACGGAGATGAGCACTGCAACCCTAGAGTCGGATTCGACTGGCTTTCGAGCAAGGGAACCTTTACCTTTACTTTAAAGTGCTACTGGACTCTTTGAGGTTTGACTCTCGAAAACGTACGCCCCCAAAGTCTTCTTGGTCTCTGAGTGCTACTGGACTCTCTAAGCGTTGACTGTGTGTGTGTGTTTTTTAAGCTTTATTGATCAGTTTCTTACAATACAGCATGTTACATCCGACATTAAAAAAGCAAAATGAACAGTACAGTAAAAGACATCTTATTATATTATATTGTTAAATCAAAAATCCCCACCTTCCTAGCCTGTAAATATAATTATTTTACTCTCTGTGTGATTTGGTTAGGCTTTTTAACGTGTATTCAGCCTGTTTTATTGAATGTTCAAGTAAACCTGTCTATTCCACCTAGTTCACCTATTGCCTAACGTGCCTTACAGGTGTAGCCATCTGTGATATGTTTGTTTCTGTGGTAATAGGTTCTGTTTCCTAATCTCTTCTGCTTCTGTTAGGTCCCTACCGTTTTTGAAATTTAGAATAGGTTGTCGTAGAAGGATTATGTGTTCTACGAATGGAATCTGTGATTTTGGCCATTATGAATTGGTCCCAGATTTTCACTTGCCAGTCTGATATTGACTGTGTTTTGACTCTTGAAAGCGCATATTTCCCCCCCCCAAAAAAAATTGTAACCTTTAAGGTACCACTGGAGTAAAATCTGGCTCTTCTACTGCAGACTGACATCAAGGTAAAGGTTTCCCATGTTCGAAAGCCAGACGAATCCGACTCTAGGGGGTGGGGCTCATCTTTGTTTCCAAGCCGAAGAGCCAGCGCTGTCCGAAGACATTTCTAGCACTCCAGTGAAGCCAGTTTGGTGTAGTGGTTAAGTGCGCAGACTCTAATCTGGGAGAACTGGGTTTGATTCCCCCACTCCTCCACTTGCAGCAAGCCATAGTTCTGGCACAGCTGTTCTTGAAAAAGCCAGAATCCGACTCTAGGGGGCAGTGCTCGTCTCCGTTTCCAAGCCGAAGAGCTGGTGCTGTCCAAAGACGTGGTCATGTGGCCGGCATGACTATAGATGCCGAGGTGCATGCAATGCTGTTCCCTTCCCACTGAAGCGGTACCTATTTATCTACTTGCATTTTCTTGCTTTCGAACTGCTAGATTGGCAGGAGCTGGGGCCAGAGACGGGAGCTCACTCCATCCTGTGGCACTAGGGTCTCGAACTGCCAAGCTACAGGTCTTCAGGTCGGCAGCTCAGCATCTTAACCTCAGAGCCACTGTGGCCCACAGACTCTGTTCCCTCTAAGCTGAGTTAATGTGAGCTAGCTCACAGTTTTTTAGCCTGCGGCTCACACATTTTTGTCTCAGCTCAGGAAGGATGGCTCCAGAGCAAACTAGTTTATGCGGCAGCCAAATCACTTGCTCACAACTTTCATGCCAGGAGCTCACAAAGTAGAATTTTTGCTGACAAGACTCCACAGCTTAGAGGGAGCATTGATAGCTACCCTCTAATACCACCTGGTACAATTCCAAGCAGTGTGTGACATCATCACCAGGTCCGACCCCCTGACAGCACTAGTCAGATGGCCAAACGGTAGCCATCCCTCAGTGGCCCCAGGCTTGCAAACATCCAGGCGAGGCCTGGAGTTCTCCTGGAATTACAACTGTTCTCTAGACTACCAAGATCAGTTTCCCTGGAGGAAACGGCAGCTTTGGAGCATGGGCTCTGTAGTATCATATCCATGCCGAGCTCCTTCCTCAAGCTTCGCCCTCCAAAAGGTCCACTCCCCCAAACCTCCCGAATTAGCACCCTTAATGAGGAGTATGCAGAATTCAATTACTGCAGAGATAAGACTTGGGCCTGTTGGGGGAAGGCTGGGGTTTTTGGCTCAATCACCTCTTCTTCTCATAGTTGTTGTCTCTGGCAGAACTAGTTGCCGGCACAGCCTGTACTAAAAGCAAGGGCTTTGTCTCTGAAGTTTACACAGGAGTAGACTATTAGATGCTCAAAGGTAAAGGTTTTCCTTGCTCGAAAGCCAGTCGAGTCCGACTCTAGGGCTGCAGTGCTCATCTCCGTTTCCAAGCCGAAGAGCCAGCACTGTCCGAAGACGTTTCCGTGGTCATGTAGCCGGCATGACTAAACACCAAGGTGCACGGAACGCTGTTCCCTTCCCACCGAAGTGGTCCCTATTTATCTACTTGCAATTTCTTGCTTTCGAACGGCTAGGTTGGCAGGAGCTGGAACTAGAGACGGGAGCTCACTCCGTCATGCAGCACACTTGGGTCTCGAACTGCTGAACTACTGACCTTCCACAGCCTGCAGTTCAGCATCTTAACCACTTGAGCCTCCACAGCTCTCAAAGAAGCAGCCAAAACGTGATCAGATCTTGGGTCTTTGGCAGAGCTGGGAGACAGGGTTCTTTAAAAGGGTTTGTAAAGCTTCTTAAATGACCTCCGGCTTAACTCTTCTAATTATCTGCTTTAACCACCTATTTTTAACAATGTGTTTTTTAATTCATGTAATTGATTATTTAATGATTAATGGTTATTTTTGTGCTGCCTCTATTTCTGTTTGCCACTCTGGGTCCTGGCTACAGTGGAGGGGGCAAGCTTTATAAATGTTCTAAACGGATAAATCTCAGCCCTGCATATTAGAACTGAGAAGTGTTTAAGTACCAGTAGAGATTGCCTTAATGGTGCAAAATCTGGCCTCTACTAAACTTCATCTGGAGGAAGAAGACAAGATTAGATTTATACCCCACCCCTCACTCAGAATGACCCCTCGCTCAGAATGAGAGCCAGTTTGGTGTAGTGGTTAAGTGCGCGGACTCTAATCTGGGAGAACCGGGTTTGATTCCCCACTCCTCCACTTGCACCTGGCTGTATGACCTTGGGCAAGCCGTAGTTCTGATAAGAGCTGTTCTTGAAAAAGAGCAGTTTCTGTCAGAGCTCTCTCAACCCCGCCTACCTCACAGGGTGTCTGTTGTGGGGAGGGGAAGGGAAAGGAGTTTGTAAGACGCTCTGAGACACCTTTGGGTAGTGAAGGGCAGGGTATAAATCCAATCCTCCTCCTTACAATCTCTTTTCCCTTCCCCTTTCCACATCAGACACCCTGTGAGGTAGGTAAGGCTGAGAGAGCTCTCTCGAGGACTGCTCTTGAGAGAACAGCTCTGAGAGAACTTGCAACTGACCCGAGGTCACTCCAGCAGCTGCATGTGGAGGAATGGGGAATCAAAACTGGTTCTCCCAGATCAGAGTCCGTGCTCCAAACCATTACACCAAACTGGCCCTCAGTGACATAATTCTGTCCTGGCCCAACAGATTTTCAGAAGCCTTGATGATGGATTTGGGCGTCTCGGGTTGCCAACTCTGGGCTGAGAAACTCCTGGAGATTTGGGAGGTGGAGCCTGGTGAGGGTGGAGTTTGAGGAGGGAAAGGACCTCCGCGGGGTGCACTGCCATAGAGTCCACCCTTCAAAGCAGCCATTTTCTCCAGGGGAATTAATCTCTGTAGTCTGGAGATAAATTGTAATTCCAGGAGATCTCCAGGTCCCACCTGGAGGCTGGCAACCCTGTGGGCATCCCACCAGCTGCCTCACAGTTATAGGAAGGGGGGCGGCAGGAGAAGGAAGAGCCAGCCCAGCTTTCCTGATCTTGAGTGTGTGTTTCAGTTGAAGGGAAGAATCGCCCCACCATGCACTGCAGGAGGTGTCTGCCCCAAGCGGGGACCAGCTGGAAGACGCTGAAACGACTGGAACCGAAGATCCAGGTGGATGCTGTGCCAGGTAAGGGAGAACTCGGGGCAGGGATGCTCTGTCTCCTTGGTGCTTGGGGGGGGGCAACAGTGGGAGGGCTCCTGGAGTTCTGGCCAGTGTTCCCTCTAAGCTGAGTCAGTGTGAGCCAGCTCACAGTTTTTTCAGCCTCCAGCCCACCCATTTTTTCCTTAGCTCAGGAAGGAGGGCTCCAGAGCAAACTCATTGATGCAGCAGCCAAATCGCTCGCTCACAACTTGAATGCCGGTAGCTCACAAAGTAGGATTTTTGCTCACTGGACTCTACAGCTTAGAGGGAACATGGGTTCTGGCCCCGCTGGTGGACCTCCTGAAGGCACCTAGTATTTTTGGCCACTGTGTGACTCAAGAGTGTTGGACTGGATGGGCCATTGGCCTGATCCAGGGGTCATTTTGTAGAAAAAGAGGTGCAGGAGCTCATTAGCATAACTCAGGGCTATTTTTGGGCAGGAACGCACAGGAACGGAGTTTCGGCTGGCTCCTGAGTTGGCCACGCCCAGCAGGAACTCATTAGCATAACAGGTCACACCCAACAGCAGGAACTCATTAGGATTGGCTACATTAGGGGTGTGTGACCTAACATGCAAAGGAGTTCCTGCTACAAAAAAGGGCCCTGGGTTTTGACAACAAACAAGGTAAACAGAATAACAAACAAAAGGTGGGTGTGGCTAGATGACCACACTTCTGGTAACATGGGGGTGTGGCCTAATGTGCTCATGAGCGGGTCTATCAGGGTGTGGG